TCCCCACCTGAGGCTGTGGTCCTTTCATATCTTTGAAAATTTTTCTTTATAAAACCCTCCCAATTTTCCTGAAAGACACCACAAAACTTGTCACATTAAAGTACCCTATACTGCAACAGAAAGCAGCTTCCGCACGATGCATTATGAGAGTTTGAAGGTTAACTACTTCCTTGATCTTTTTATAAGGTGGCCACATACTAGCAACTTGACCGAAATAGCAAAATATCTTTCTTACAGAAATTGATACTGATATGGAAGGGGACTGGCAGAAGCAAGAGGGCGATTTCTTCCTCAGGGTGCACGGTGACCACATTAACAGCAAACGGCTCCATCCATAAAAGTTTTTAGTGCAGACCACCTACGACTTCTGCATGGGAATGGCCTTCTCACATGGAACTGGACGTCACAAAGGTACTTTCCAATGGTGAATTACACCTAGCCCAGGCTGAATTCACCTACTACTCTGCTGTTCCTGCATTCAGAAACCAAAATCCAGCCTAACCCCTGACACTGCCCTTAGGGGCCAGCACAGGTCACTTGTCACAAGGCTGGGTGACCCAGGCCAGTTGCGTGACCTCCCTCTGGCCCGCACTCTCATTGGCACAGGAGAGAAGACGCTTGGGGGCTGGCACTGGTGGGAGAGGCAGGGCTGTGCCCCCTCCTGCCACCTCACCACTCGCTCCCACTCCGCAGAGCCCAGCGAGCTCACTTCGAAGATAAGCACTTTGAGTTCTAATGAACACAGAAACGCTGTTCCAAAAGGATTTTCTTTTAACCGTTGGGGGGCGGGGGGCCTTGGCCTTTGGGCTTCGTTAGGGACTTTTTTTTTTTTAAATTGGCCCTTGTTTCCCGGCGTTTTTTTACCTTTTCTGGGGAAAAAAAGAAAGGACGGCAAATATTTATCCAGTACCTTCTATGTGCCGGGCACTGCTCAGGGCTTTACATGAATTAACTTGCACACATCTATTACATAATCACAACAGTAAACACTGAGAAATGACATTGAAATCACTCCTCCTTGCTGAGATGGGAACAAGGGGTCTGGGGACTTTAATTACCCCCCTTCTCCACGTAACTGCAAGAAGATGACACTTAGAAGGTAAAAACCAGACTAAGTAAATTTTTCAACATGAAATTCCAATTTCAATACCTGTACCTACTACAGTAAAGTCACTAAAATGACTGTGTTAACACTGTGCACAGAAGTGAGCTATTTGGTCCAGGGACAACCAAGATCCCCGGGGGCCTGCGTTGGCCACTTCCCAGAATCCTAGCGCTCCACTTAATTGGTATAAAATGGGCATACTGCAACCACACTCATTTTCAGTAACTTCGTGGTCTAAGCATCTGTTTTGAAATACCTAACTTTCTAAAACCATACGTTCACATTCCAAGAAAAATGAAGAGGTTCTCAAGGAGCTGCCAAGCACGTATGGAGGATCCTATGCTGGGAGTGACACAGGACTCCTGGGCACTGGTGGAAGAGTTCTTTCTTTTCCAGTAGGAATTCACACAAATCACTGTTTCCAATCTTCAGTGTTCTTCCTTTTTTTTGAAAACTAAAATAGAGAAGACATAGCCACACCACCTTCACACAAATCATCCACGCAAGGGAGGGTGATAGCACGCAGGCAGGGTGTCCTTACCGGCAAAACGCATTAACCCTCCTATCCACTCCCTAGCCCCCACCCTCTCTCCACTCTGCAGACATTTGCTACATCTGGGCACTGACCGGATGGCGGAAACAAAACCCTGCCTGCAGCAAGTTTACGGTCAAGCGAGAGGTTGGGGGAGCCAGATAAATAAACAGCTCCAAAGAAAAAGACGCTCAAAAGAGATGAAAAGCATCTAAAAGATGGGTCACGCCTGTAATCCTAGCACTCTGGGAGG